ATTATGGTCACAATCAACTTTTTCCTCCGCCAGGTATGAACATTTATATGCAGTGTGTGTTCAGCTGTGATGGCGGGCGGATGTTGTTGTATAATTAACGTCACAACGCCGCCCTGGCAGCTGGATAATGTGGGCTAGTTGCGGTGACCACCAGCGGTCAGTGTTGGTGAGTTGCGGTGACGGCCGTCGGTCATGGAAGATGATAAATGGATGAAAGTGGGGCGGAGAGTTGCACCATTAATATGGCTACGACGATCTCTCCTACAAGCAACGCTCCGCCATAATTGTGTGTGGGAGCCAGCGGCTACTAAAACATACATTTAGAATTATGATTTAAGATCCAGCTCGCCTGGCAAGCGTAGTGTGTTAAAAGAAGAAAACTGATGACGCATGTTAACAGAAGAAGTCTTGAAAATAGAATAACAACTTAGCGTACGATTTATAGTTTCATAAATAAGAAACTTTGTGATTTTGAATATATAAATAAATACACAAACTGTTGCATTTTATAGACATGATAATTATATTTTCCAACAGACGGAATATTTTTCAGTGGTGTGGTTCACAAGATATGGCGTCAGTGTCTTGTAGAGAACATGGTGGGTGGTGCCACTAGGAATTTAATAGTAGGTCACCGCTAGTAGGTCACCGCTAGTAGGTCACCGCAGTGTTATATATGTTGTCTTAACTTAATTCTCAAACTGCCTGGAATATTAAGCACCAACCGCTAGTACTAATACACACAGCGATGATTCGTGCTATTCTGGTGACCCCATGATTTTAATACGGGTTATCAGTTTATAGACAGACGTAAAGACAGACAGAGATACGTAGGCAAAAGAACAGAAGTTAGTGGCTGTGACGACGTTAACAGCAGGAGTTGGCAGTGACTATATCAAGAACAACAGCAGTGACATCATTAACAGCAAGAAGACGTCAGCAACAACAGCAGTGACATCATTAACAGCAAGAAGACGTCAGCAACAACAGCAGAAGAAACTTAAATTATAATGACAACAAGAACAGCGGCAGGAGTAGCAGCAGTAACTTACAGCACAAATTACCAGTGACAGCAGAATGAACAGCGGCAACGACAACACCACTAAGAGAAGCTCGCCCTGCCATCATCTCGGCCTAGGCTGACACGAGTCGCCTCTGGCTGACCCGGAGCGATAACGAGGTCAGGAGCATTAGCCCTAAGAATACCTAGACCTGTAGGAACCTAACCTAACCTAACCTATCCTATAATCGACCTAAACTTATCCCAACCACACCTAACCAAACCAATCCTTAATCTACCTTGACTTAACCTACTCCGCCTATTCTAGCTTAAGGGCGCCTCTGGTCAAGACTTGGCGCCCCGGTCACTACTCCACAGCCTCGTCAGGCAGTAATTTGTGATGGGCGGGTATATCTGTCACATGCCCAGGTATTTACGTAGTGGTGGTGGGGCAGGCAGGTAGGTGGTAGGGTAGATGGCTGGGCTTGGGTAGGCATGCAGGTGATAGTGGTGGAATGAGGTGGCATGTGGTTGGGATGGGGTGGTATGTGGTTGGGATGGGGTGGTATGTGGTTGGGATGGGGTGGTGGAGTGAGGCCGTAGGTGGTGAGAGGGGAGGTTGATGGTGGGGTGGAGAGGTTGATGGTGGGGTTGGATGATAGCCCCAGGAACGATCTCCGGTACAGGTCACCTATCCAGTACTGTACTCCCACAAGGCCTTGCACCTAGCGGTCTCCCTCTCTGTTTTTAGATCCAGTCAGTTGTTTGAATACAGAACACAATTGACAAACTGACACACTCACTGACTAACTGACACACTGGCTAACAGACCCACTAACCGACACACTCACTGACTAACTGACACACTGGCTAACAGACTCACTAACCGACACACTCACTGACTAACTGACACACTGGCTAACAGACTCACTAACTGACACACTCACTGACTAACTGACGCACTGGCTAACAGACCCACTAACTGACACATTCACTGACTAATTCACTGACCCATTAATTACTGGTCGATCGAGTCACTCACTGATTCACTCATTCACACAGACAAATTTTTCACCATCCCTTACCGACGTACTTAAGTTACGCGTAATGTTAAAAATTCTCTAGTTTTGACACTATATATGCCATACAGTCATCTGATGTTAACATTCGGCAGACCAAATTACCGTTTGTTAACATTAAGCAGATTTTCAACATTTAGCAAAAAAGTTTTTGCAGATGTTGACAGGTGCTAGAATGCCGGTGTTACCTGCTAGTGACTCCACCAGCGGTAACGACACCAGCAGTCATTGTACATCCCGCCAGCAGGACCCCAGGAGTTACCCACCTCCTCTCTATCTTCCTCCCTCCACCACTACGTCTCGTCTCTATCCCTCTCATCAGCACGCATCACTTACCACTTATCAATACGATATCGTAATAAAGCACCGAAATAAAGTCTTATCTCCCGCATCGGCTGCAGTAAGACTCGTAACGGGGGGTAAAGGGAGCATAAATCAGCCCTAAATGGTGTTGGCCTCAACCACCACCTCGCGAGACGCCGTAATGACCTATGGTTGCTTCACCCATCAGCTAGAGGTCAAAGAGTTATTGCACTAATTTCAGATCCCTGAACTTGTATTAGACGGGGATGATTTAATACAACGCACGATCGGTCAGTTAATATTCACATTTGCATGTTACAACAGCCACGATAACTAGTAGGTAAGTTTACACGAGTCATCCTCTGTTTAGAGAAAACTTTTTATTTACTCTACTTTTTATTTCTAAATACGACGTTCTGTCAGAAAATCAAAGCAATCAGAACACCCAAAAGAATCCAGAACATTAGTATGAGGAAGAAAGTCATCCATTTCATGCCAGAATATAAACCATCATCTTGCATCGCCGCGGTCTATTGATAATACCTGGGAGCACGTGTCTGCCTGGCGGCGAGGGACGACGGGAAGAGGCATCGTCTACCTGGCCAACTGATCGTACCGCAGATAAGTCCAGACACGTAGGGGTTATGACCGGCGGCAAGGAGTACTGTAATTATGGACATTTCCCGAGTGACAATATCGGGTGAGAGGAACGTCCAGAGATTCCTGGGTCGGAGAAAGTCGGGGTCAGCCTGTGTAAAGTATTTCCTCGCCTTGCTCGTCTATGTGGAAAATATTATCTGCCTTCATTTTATAGCTTTTGTACAATGAATGTATCTACTAAACATAGACTCAATGTAGTTTTAAGTTAACAGTTAGGATCATTCTTACGTCTTCAGTTACTAGTTGGGTAACTGTATGCTGGTTCACCTTTTAAACTTATGATAAAAATACGTGTAAAATAATTATTCTTAAATACTTGTCTAAGCCACTGGGAACCTTAAAACTCATGACTGGGCAAGAACTGGGCAGCTCAAGAGCTCGTGTATTAATTTAGAAGTTCTTAAAATATGCAGAGTCAAGCCATCAGCCTTAATAACGGCCACCTGGCGCCTTCCTACATAATCTTTAAAAAATAGTTTAAATAACATGAAGAAGATTACGATACAGATGTTGGCCCTTAACCGATGACACAGAAAAGTTCAAATGGTAATACAATGCCATGATGGTGCTACGATAGACTAATACAGTGTAGTCTCCCTATAATATGAAAGACATTCACGCATTTGAGAATATTCAGAACGAGACGAAATTTAATTGTGTGGAAAACTTGTATTACGTCGACCGTCTGAGGAAGCTGAAGATACCATCAGCGGTGTATCGCAGGGTAGGGCAAGACATGATCGAGACCTTCAACATGATGTAAGGGATGTATCACGATGTGGCATTACCGCCGCTCAGACCACAGTACCTATACCTGCATGAGCTGTTCCTAGTACTGTACCGTACACCAGCACACCAAATTATGGCACAAAATAAACTCTATGGATATGTGGATGTGCTTCCCTGATCGAGTGGACACGTTTCCCAGGATGTTAACTTTCGAGAAAAAAACGCTGGACAAATACTGGGCAGATCAATGTGTTGTGTTCGGCTGCAGAGCTCCTCTTTCACACCAGAGCTAGATATACAGGCATAGGGCCATTGAAAAGAACAATATCAGATTATTAGGTACTCTACTCTATGTAAGAATCTACTATCATGTCTACAAAAAAAACGAAATCGTGTACCATATATTTTTCATTTTCTTTCACGATAACTTTTAGAGAATTTATACGGGAGACTTAAGTAATATTCTTTAAAGGACTTTTACGGTGTGTATTTAAATGACAGTATTCTGTAGATGTTTCTTGCGATATGGCAGTGTGGACATAGATTCTGGAGCGGGGTGGCAATATTGATAATATATATCTGGGCTTTGACAAGGTATTCAATAACGTACTCCACGAAAAGCTGAAAATTAACCTGGAAGCTCACGGAATTCAGGGGAACGTCCAATAGTAGATCAAATACAATCTTTATGACCGAAATTATTGTATGGTGATTCATGGTACGAAATCATCTTGTGTACCTGTGGCAAGCAAACCACAGTAGGCAGTATGCTAAGGCCGAAACCCCGTTGTTCTTTATTTGCTTCATAACTGTGATACACCAGATGCGGTACACTCCTCCATACAAATGTGGACAACACTTAAGTTATTCATGGAAATTAAAAATCAAATGAACCATATCAAGGCTGAAACCCACCTTTTATGTCAGTAACCATCTTAAAAGTATATGCCTGGAATACTGTTATAGTCTCCCCCAATAACTAATAGAAAACCATTACCGAATACTGTCATAGAAAACGATTATTATTCTAGGGCTTTATATACTCTTCACATATTAAGGATTATGTGGTAAAATATGAGATAATATTTTACCATATTTTATTATTTTGCACTAATATTACATAAAATTTATTTATATTTTTAAATAATTGTAATTAACTTTGCTTACTTAAAGAATAGAAGTTTTTAGTATAAGAAAAATATCTACTTAACCTGGTTTTAATATTGTGATTCATCTTGGTGAGAGCTGACAGGTTCACTCAGACACTCATCATATATCTTCACATTAACTAAGATTATACACCTTAACACATTGATTAGGTATACAGAATGTCTTATATGGTTGAGTTTATAATATATCCACTGTTGTAAAGTATAATAGGTCGGTATCATTGTAGTTTTAACCAATATAACTCGAGGGTTTTGTTTCCTCCCATATAGTTTATTAGTAAAGTCTATGGTGATGTATGAGGACACCTGAGGGAGTTGTTGGATGGGTTAATAGTGTTGTTTGTAATATGTATCCAGTTGTATTATCTTTGGAATTATTTTATTTTCCAGGGGGTCTCCAATCAAAAGTACTTAACTGTAGCTGTATGCTTTCAAGAATGGCTAAAGTAACTCGCAGGTTTATCGGTGAGTAGAGGATTTACTGTACCAAGCTTTTTTCTGCTTTAGATACACTGGTACAGTAATGTATCGGTATCAGCAGATGTATAGTAAATGTTAGGTTTAGATCCTTCACTATAATATTTTGTGTGTTTTTGAGGGAGTTTATATAGTATAGAAAACACTTATTATCTCTACTGCACCATTACAGTGCCATACAGGACTGTAATGTTTCTCCCTAATACATGTGTGCAGCTGCTACTATAGTCTACTGAGCTGGAGTGGTTTCTACTGGAATATTTACACTAGCATCTATTAACCTAACCCAACCTAGGTTAGGTTTGGTTAGGTTAGGTTAAGTTAGGTAAGGTTAGGTTAAATTAAGTTAGGTTAGGTTGGGTTAGTAGACTGCACCTTTGTGCAGTGCAGTACTGTACACTACACCAGATTCCCAATTTATTTTAAGTACAATGCCGGTACTTACTGAGGCCCATGTTCTAATATCAGGAGGTCTGTGGAGGGTGCATGCAATATTCTGTAATGTTAATTAATCCAGATTAAATGTACGAGAAGATACTTTCAACATGTTAGTTTGTTTAGGAGTCACACGTGTCTTATTGATCTGAGGTACAGGATCCTCTGGAGGTAGTGAAAATAATCATGACAAATACTCAACTGTGTTCCCACATAGAGGAGCAGAAGGAAGGAAACTTGATAAAACAAAGAGGCAGAGGTAAAGAAACTTGTGATATAGAGAAGAAAATGTAGTATTTGTTTCACGGAAAAAAATTTATTTGAGAATTTGACGCTGCACATTTAATATGGTCAAGAAAAAGAACCATCCTCAGCTGTACCAAACAAGAACTAACTTATAATCTCTTTACTATACTTCACTCACAGTACAGTACAGTATTACTGCCATGGAAAGTGTACAAGATCAACTGAGCAACTATTAGAAAATTAATGCCATGTGTTCATTTTACTGATGCTAAATCAAGTAGCATTCATCTGGCCATATGATTAAATAATTCAAGAACCTCAGTGAAGTGGTTTCATGCTAAGTGGACAAGACAGGAAACTTAGCCGACAAGGGATGAAGTAACTTTAAATGCATTAAGGTCAAATTTGCAGTGCAATGCTGAATAAATTACAATCTCTCCATCGTAATTCTGCCATGAAATGCAATGAGACTCATTCATTTTACCTCCTGGTTAAGATTTAGAACATGTTTATTATTGTGAATTATTAATGTGAGTGTATGTGCCAGCCTCATCACTTCCTTGTCCTGCCTTGTACTCCAGCCTGTCTAGAAGTTTCAAGAATGCAAAACATTGTCAGAATATTGAGTCTGTAGAATTCAGACATCTTTGAGTGTCATTGGCAGCATTTACAAGAAACATTACACTGTTTTATTTTTACTAAGAGAAATATTTGTACTTTTCTACAAACTAATATTGACATATATCGGCAGGTGTGAGCACTGTTGCGGAAGAAGATAGATCTGAGGCATTTGATGAAGAGCCTCATGATCCCACACTGACTCAGTTGGATATGGCTCACTACAGCCCCTCCCCCCCTCCCACCATGTCAGAATACCTTGGGCAGGGCCACACCACGCACCACCATGCCGAAACCAATGCTCCACCTTTTTACCATAGTGTTCATTCTACTCAGGCAGAACCATTACCAAACCATTCCATACCTGTGACCCCACAAGTACACTCCTCGCACATGACACCACAGTTTCCTTCATCTAACATGACTCCATTGTTACCTCCACCATTACCTTCCTCACACCTTCCTCCATACAGTGTGCCAGCAGCTCCATTGTATGTCACTCAAACAGAGATTATTAATGCAAGTAACTCTCCCTCAGAAAACACTCAAGATGCTAGACACAACATGCCTGCACCACCAGAAGTTACATCTGGTTGTTCATTTAAGAATTTGGCACTGATGTCCAGTTCACAGAAAGATGTGGTCAGACAATGCAAACTTCATGATCATGGAAAACTCTGCATTAAGAACAATGAACACTGGAAAAAGAACGTAAGAAAAAAGTTGAAAAACCTCGGAAGAGCTTACACTATGCAGAATGGTAAAGATGTTAAAGCCAAACAATATAAACCAGTCACTGTGTGTTGCATCTTCAAGTGTTGTCAAAATTATGGCATTAACAGTCAAAAAAGGGCATTTTCTGAGTTTTGGAATATGGGGGATTGGAATAAACAAGCTCAATTTTTATGGGATCACATTAATATTACAAAGACATCAAGGAAGACAGCTAATTCATCTTCTAGACGGGTTCACACCAGACAGTTTTACCTGCCCAATTTACCAGATGATAAAACCAGGGTCTGTAAGAGCATGTTTTTGGCTGTGTTGCAGATATCAAATGGAAGATTGAATTATACACTTAATCAGAAAATAATAGCGGGAGCCGATAAGGTACCAAAAGACAAGAGAGGGCTTAACACACCTAAAAACAAGACGACGGAAGAAGCTCTACGAGTGGCCGAGGAATATATTCACGGCCTACCATATAATCAAGTCTACCAAGAGAAGAAGGCAAAGAGCTCCGTCCTTCAGGGAGTAACTATAAAGAAAACCCATGCTGTATATAAACAGTCATGTGTCGAGACAGGGAAGCCCATTATCAGCATTAAAGTGTTCAGGAAGCTCTTACCAAGTGTTGGAAAGAAAGTTGTTTTAGACGATTTTTTAGTGCGAGAACAACACGTATCTAGAACAACCAATCAATACAGTGATGCTTTTGAAAGTGAGAAGTCTCAAAATTTAACAGAAATCTGCCATATATCCAAGGAAAGTCCAGTCTTCAGTATAAAGGAGGCACAGCCCAGTGTGTGCACGGAGATATCCAGCATACAGAAGGCACCCATAGTGGCAGAAACTGTACCTGATGCAGATCATCAGAAAGTTTCACAGATTTCAAATAGTATCCAAGCAAGAAAGAGTCAGTTGGGAAAGCTAAGTGTTCGCAACAAACGTAAACAGCTTCGTAATGAAGGGAAGAGCTACATAGCTCCATCTGGTAAAGTTGTGTGGGGAAAACAATTTTTACCACAGTATGCTTGTTGCATTAACAAATGCCATGAATCTATTCCAGTGGAACAGCAAGAAATTTTATTCAGGAAATACTGGGCATTGGGTACATGGAACCTGCAAACAAAATTTCTTTGGGAACACATAGAAGTCAAAGACACGAAAACAAAATCTTCCAAAAATGTGGAGTCGCGTCGTGTTCACACCAGAGTATATTATCTCTCCAACTTTGAGGGGGAAAGAAAAAAGATATGTAAGACTCTGTTTTGTTCAACTCTTCAGATTTCAAATGGCAGACTATCCAGGGCAATTAATCAGAAGGTAATTAACCACACAAATGTTCCTCAGGATAAACGGGGCAAAAATCCTCCGCATAACAAAACTCCCGAGGCAGAAACAACATACATGATAGGTCAGATAAGACAGCTTGTACAACACCAAGATGGCCAATTGATTAAATCCAGTAGTTGTAAGCTGCCATTAGGTATGAAGATGAAAAAAGCCCATGAAATGTACATTACCTCATGCCTGCAGACTGGAAGAAAGCCTCTATGTTATACAGTATTCAGCCAAACAGTCCACAGGGAACTAGAGACGTCTCCAGATAAAAGTGGTACATCTGATCCTATCTAGTGACTGACCACATAACAACCACCACTATTACTACACAGTGCCAGGTATTGCAATCAATGTACAGTGCAATAACTATCTCTTAATCAGTGCTCTATATGTTAGTAGGAATCACTAGTTACCTCTTCTCTCTGACAGTCTCCCTTAACAGCCTGATATTGTACGTTCCTATACCAGTATGTAGTTAAAATTTTTATTTCATGTAGAATTGAGTGTCCAGTGTTAGATTGACCTTAGACAAATGGGTTACTGTTCTTGATGTTTATCACTTAACATTATCTTTGACAAATTTTTTCTCTTAATGATAAATATATTCCTAAATCACAGATACAGTACTATATGCATGACCCTCCCATCTAGGTACAGTAGCATTCAAACTTATCATATTGGTTTGTAAGTTTTAGGAAAGTGGCCTCCTGTCTAAGAAGATGGAAAGTTTCAGAGTACGCACTACTGGTTAGTAAATAAGTGCTGCTTAGAAGGGATAATCAACCCCTGACAGCCTGGCCATACACAATTACACTGTTGCTAAGGTCACATCCCAAGTCAAACACTGCAGCCTCTTTGATGTTAGCAGTGGTCTCCATTGTGAGAACATCCACCTACTAACTTGATTATGGCAAAACCTTCATTATGGGTGCTGTACTGCATATCAGTACTGTAAGCCAAAAATAAAGAAATATAGTTGTACTGTGCACTCATTATAAATCTCACACTTATTTTTGGATGATCAAAGCCTCTAAAAGCTTTCAAACTCTTCAAATAAAATGGATACCTTTTTTTACTGTATATGTAATATCTTGTGTTTATTGTAAATTATTCAAGCCGTTTTCCTTTTTCTGGGATGATGCTGTTGTACTTGGCTAAGGTTATATAGTATATACAAACTGTACCTGAAAAATATTTAGATTTATATTAAAGAAAAAGTCTTCAATACACTTAATATCACTAATTAGTAATTACTGTATTGACTCAAATTAATGTTATTGACCTGCACAAAGTATGTACAGTACCATAATAATATTTGTATATCTTCCTTTGCAGACATTGGTGCTAATCTGACCGATGAAATGTACCAAGGAACTTACCATGGAAACAAGAAGCATGAAGCTGACTTAAACCTTGTGTTAAAGAGAGCGTGGGAGGCAGGACTGAGCAAGATGATCATTACTGGAACAAGTCTCTCTGACAGCAAGACAGCCCTAGAACTAGCTAAAACTAATGGTAGATTAATAAACATGTTCCCTTGTTGTATGGGTGTTGCAGTGTAGGGAAACATTTATAGTTGGTGTAGGGATGTTTAGTGTTGGTGTAGGGATGTTTAGTGTTGATGTAGGGATGTTTAGTGTTGATGTGATTGATTAAAATGTGATTTAAGATTACTAGTAATGAATATTTTTTATTTGTCTCTATTTTTATGGTGAATCTCCCTTAATGGATTTGCAGTATTTTATTTATGGTTTTCATTTTGTCTCATAAAAGTAGGAATTCAATTCAAGTTCAACGAGTAACAAAGATTATGTTTTTAGAACTGAATCCCCAGAGAAAAATTTATTTATAATTTATTCACAAATTTTGTTTAATTTGCATTCAAGTTAGTTTTGCTGTATGATTGGCTATTAATGCTTCTTCGGTTAACTTGGTTATTGATCCACTGGTAAGCCTTGGTCAAAGTAGTCTGTTAGTTTTTCAAGGAACGTGAGCAAGTTTGTCAGGCAGGATTTTCTTTCCATGTAACTGTGTTGTGATGTATTGATAAGACTGTGCTCGGGTGTTGATGATGGCTTTCCTCAGAATTTTCTCATACAGGTATTACATATATGGAATGTTAGGTTGATTGGCCTGCAACTTTCTGCCGCATCCTTTGTACCCTTCTTGTATACTGGGCTGACATCAGCTGATTTCCAGTCTCTAGGCACTTTTCCTTGATTCAAATTTCCCTGAATAAGAGTTTTAGTTGAGTGGTAATCTTGTTTGCCTCCTACTTTATCACATTGGTCTGTGCTCCGTCTACTCCAGGGGCTTTGAGCTCATTCAAGCTAGCTACTGTCCTTTTTATATCTTCTGTAAGTTCTGTCTCTCATAATTCATTTAGTGTGAAATATGAAGAAATTTAAATTTCTTTTAATATCTTTTAGATAAGTCAAAATACCAGTACAGTAATTAATATCCACTTTTAAATGTAACATTGTGATAATTTTCATCCCCAGAACAGCTTTACTGTACCGTCGGGTGTCACCCAACTCGCTGTGCAGAGTTTGAAAGTGATGGCACTGATCCAGATGTATATTTAGAGAGCTTATTACAGCTGGCACTGGACAACAGAGACAATGTGATAGCTATTGGGGAGTGCGGCCTGGACTATGATCGTACACACTTCTGTGCTCCAGATATTCAGAGACAGTAAGCCATTTGAATGTGACTTTATTTCAGATTATACTTCAATTTGTGCATATATACTGTATAACAGTGTATATACTGTTTATACACTGTGATAATAATAATGCTAATATGACAAAAGTCTTTCACGCAATATAAAAGATTCTATAAGAAAAATGCTAGATGCCGCAGCGTTGTCCTGTCATAGTTGATTCAGCTTTCTTGTAATGTTCTACACTTGTCTTACACAATTCTCCTATATTATCTTTCCTCTTTCTTGAGCTTGTCATATGATCCATCTCTCACAAAAGTAGGAGAGGTTGAGAGATGGTAGGTAAATTTCTTTGATATACTGTACTGTACATACGGTCAGTATTCCTGAAATTTCATGTACCTGTACAATGCAGTTGCAGAAATGTGTTCCTACACCCCCTGTGGTAACCCATGTCTCCAAACAGCAATGTTGCAGTAGGTTCGCCTTTTGGAGACACGGTTTACCACAAGGGCTGTAGGAACACATTTATGCAACTGTACCAAACTGTAAAACAAAAAAATGACTACTGGTACTTCTCTCTAGATATTTTGAAAAGCAAATTAACCTGGCAGAAGTGACTGGATTGCCAATGTTCTTGCACTGCCGAAATTCTGCTGCTGATCTAGTGAAAATCTTGACGACCCATCGAGAGAAGATCACGGGTGGGGTCGTCCACTCCTTTGATGGCACCAAGGAGGAAGCTCAACAGATACTGGATTTAGATCTTTTTATTGGATTAAATGGCTGGTAAAGTATTTATTTAAATTTTTTTACTAATACAATACATTATAATAAATTTTGGTGTTTTCTAAGTTAATGTCAGAAAGCTTTTTAAGCATTAACCCATTGAGTGGTAGGGGTTTCTCTCAGCTGAAGTTAGTTTAATTTAAAAATTCAGGTATCAAGATTATTAAGACCTAAATTCCTGTACTTTCAATGGAAAGTGACATATCAAATACTAAACTGTAATTAAGATTAATATGCAATAAAATGTATGTAAGAATTAAAAATGTATTTTGCCTTTATCAAGAACCATTTGCTTTCTACAGCTCATTAAAAACTGAAGATAATCTAGCCGTAGCAGTAACCATCCCTGTTGAGCGGCTGATGATTGAGACAGACTGCCCCTGGTGTGAGATTCGTCCAACTCATGCTGGTCATAAACACCTCAAGACAACCTTCCCAAACAAGAAGAAGGAGAAATGGGAGTCTGGTGTCATGGTCAAAAGCAGAAATGAACCTAACTGTATAGTGTAAGAACAAAAGAAATGCTTTTTGTATGTAGTATACAGAATAAAAAAAGTTATGTTGTTTTCATACAGACAGCCTGGAATATGGAGTAATGTATAGTATTTTGTTACCACTGTGTAATAAACTTGTAAAGTAGTTGAGTGAGTTAGAAATTGGTAGTAAAGTAGTGATCTATATTTAGATTTAATTTTTTTTTTTTGGCTGAATATCAAAGAATTTTTTTATATTTAGAGGCAGGTAGATACAAATAACAATAATAATGAGGTGAAGGAAGGTTACCAAGGAAAGGAAGAGGTGATATGTGTTTGTGTGTATATAGGAAGGCTTGACACTGATTGGAGAGTAATAGATGAAGGGACATGGGGAATCCAGAAGGAAATCTAAAGCCCTGTTTTGGAAGAGGAACATGATAGCACAACAGAGATGGCAAAGGCAGCTGGAATGACTGAGTGAGGGGGAGTTTCTTGTGATTCTGGACATCCTGCAGCTTCGAAGCAAAGGGCTTGTGGGAGCTTAAAGATTATAATTCCGATTTTCTTTCATGTTGTACAATTAAATTGTGCTCTTTCTTTCATTTTCAGATAATTTTGCATATGATTTCCCTCTGTGTTCTATTTAATATACAAATTAATGTTTAGGCATCCATCAATCGAACCTTCCTTACATTCAGTGAAATAATATCCTTCGTCTTGATGCCATACTTCATCCTGGATTAAGTCTTTGTCTGCATCATGTGTCTGATAGATTTACCTCATATGATGTTTACAGAGCCTTATTTTCTATTTTTCATCTTTCAGTCAGGTGCTAGAAGTTTTAGCTGCTGTGAGGAACGAAGATCCAGACGAGTTGGCTGATAATCTTTATAAAAATACTCTCAAGCTCTTCTTTCCTTCAGAGGCTTGAGTAAAGCAATCAGTCTCGCATCATCCGTGGTACCAATACTTTCGGAAGAGTTAATAAAAACTTTAAATAATTGTGGTTTTCGTGGTCCTGTTGACACAAGGGCAGGAAATCATCATCATTATCATTTTACAGCCAATTTAAGCACTTATATGGGTTAGCTGCAGTTACCTGATGGCAGCTCTCTATGCTTTACAGTCTCACAGTCTCTTGGCCGGTTACTAACTCTAATGTCATTTCTTACAACCTCTCTTCTTGTTAGGTGTATTCTTCGTCTACCACTAGCTCTACGATGGCTGGAGAGGCCAATGCTGTACAGGACTGGTAGGGTCATCCACAGATGTGTCAGTTTACAGTTTCACATGATATAAATAGGAAATGTGTGGGGAATGATGCAGTTATGTAGATGAGATTTTAGCCACTGAAAAATAATGCCAGATTTACAGGATGTACCTACAACACTGTAACAGTGTCAGCTGGTCTCCAGGCAAGAAATGGTATAGTATTTACCCTCTTCTTAGTGCTCAGTAGGTAGCTGTTTCCCAGTTTTAGGAGGAGGCTGACTTTCTCAAGTATTTTAATTCCTTTTTATTTCCCATTTCTAAGAATCATTTATGTGTCAACTATTTGCAGTAAATCTTAACATTTTATTATTTGTATACCCTGTACTGTACTGAAATGTAATTTTCACCAAAATCTAATTTTGGGCCAAAACTGTCGAAAACATAAGCCTTACACCTTAGAAATTTTTTGACCAAAATATACTTTTCGCTCCGAATTGAAATTTAAGGGGTTTAACTAATAAAGTACTTACAGAATAACACATTAACACCATTCGGTTACATGAATGAGAATGTATATTTATGAATTATCAAAATATATCTCATGAAGATTAGAAATCCCACATTATTTCACCTGATGATAATAATCCTCATGCAAATCTAGCCAAACATAAAATGACCTGGCCTGACTTGACTTAACACCCCTACTTAACATTTGGGTGTCTACTCATCAGGTCAAGTTAATAGGGGTTACTAATCGTCATGGAAATAAGAAAGAACGTGTCTTCTCTGAAACACGTTTTCAGAATTTTTTACCGAGGGATGTTCATAGAAACTGGCCAACTGTGGGTTGGCTGCTTAATAAACCAGGAACCGAGGCACACCTGCCGCCGACACGGCAGTTAAAGGGGAGACTAGAGGTAAAATATGACCTCTGAGGTCAGAGGGTAACAAACAGTCTTTTGATCTAGTACAAAAAAATTGGGTCAAGGTTTCCTCCCCTTGTGTAAATGATACAACATCAGAGTCAAATCCAGGGTTTATACTAAAGGGGCCTTGCCAAACCGCGACTGCAAAATAGAAACTAACATCCGGAGAAGATAACTACAAGCGATAAGTCTTTATTTCATTGAACTGTTTATCACGTGATTGCAATCCTGAAGGAACCCACTCAGAAAATGGTTAGATTTTTTTCAAGCTCAACCTGCCTCTCCTCATTTAAATCAGTAGTGACCTATGTATCCAACTTCC